TGCTGGAATATTTTGTCTAAAAGGACAAGCTTAGATGAAATGATCAAAATACATATGCTATATATATATAATACCTAGGGTTAGAAGCATTACGTTGCTTCTCTTCTCAGCATCACATTACTTCCCCCTCTCTCTCTTCGACATGACCACTCTTCTGCCAATCTCTCTGTGCTTTCTTTAGCTATGGGCGTCGTCCTCTCCCTCCTCTATCTACCTTGCTCTGCTGCCGTTGTCTCCCTTCGCCGAAAACAATGGCTACTTTTGGCAAAAACCAAAGTGTTTCAACTTTCGGTGATAGAGTACTGGAGGCGAGGGGTCTGCCGCTCTTTCTCTCTCCGTCATTGCTTTTCCTCTGCCGCTGCTCTACCGCGAAATCCATATCGTGAGATCCATATCCACCACCACCGCCATGAGATGCAAATCTAGATCTAGATCCAAAAGTAGACGCTGCCACTCACTCATGCTCAACTGATAAGGTTATTTACTGTGTGATTGATTATACAAACCCATTCTCTAACCTATGGTGGTGTTTTAGGGTTAAAACAATCTTCTTTATGCTGATGTTAAATTTTTGAAATCTAGATTGTTTTTAAGGCCAGACAATCTATAGATCTGGATCTCATCATCATCCTTGAAATCCAATCTGCGTTATGCTGATGTTAGCCCCATGGATGTTTGATGTTGATGTTAATGTTAAATTTCTCAATTTTTCACTTCTGTAAAAGTTTCTTCATGCAGTCAACATTCTCTCTCCGAAGCCTTTGCGCTTGTAGGTTTTGCAACGTATTCCCACCTTCACTCAGTTTGAATAAAAGTTTCTTTGGTTGTTCTAAGCTCTAAACTCTTTCTTGTTTTAATTTTCTTTGGTTGATTGTGATTTTGGATAGGTTTAATCATGTTGTATACTACAGATACAAATATGTTTATTTTTTTTTAATTTTTTGATGATGATGATGATGATGATGAACATATAGGATTTGTTATTGTTGATGAACATATATGATTTGTTGTTGTTGATGAACATATAGGATTTGTTGTTGTTGATAATGATTTTGAACAAATGAGTAAAAGAGAGAGACACACACATAGATAGAGAGAAGAAATATTTGAACAAATAGGATTTTGTTTGACTTGATATAACGTTCACTATATTCCCTCCAATAACTAGTTTAACAAACATAATCCTATCCTCTTTCCTAATGACCGCCACCACATTCTCCACAAAACCCTTGGCAATTAAGATTCCTACCCCATTCCTGCGTCTATTCTTACCACTATAATACAGTTTAAAACCGGTATCCTCAAATTCCTTAGCTTTTTCACCTGTCCACTTAGTTTCTTGTACGCAAGCTATACTAACTCTCTTCCTAATCATAACATCTACCAACTCCATCGTCTTACCAGTTAAGGTTCCTATATTCCAAGTGGCTACTCTAAACCTCCAGTCTTGGACTAGCTTCTTTACCCGCTCTCGTCCAGAAAAACGTAGGAACCTTTGCCCATTTTTCACCGCACCCAGGCGTTGATGCGATGCCCCTTACTCACTTTTTGAAACACCCAAAGGTAGGTGCAACGCGTCACTTGAGGGGAACAACCTTGCATTTAAACGATTCAAAGTAGGATTCATAGTCATAAGGGATCCAAGCGGCTTTTTTACGTGTTAGCCGTCGGCTTCCTAAGATACAACCATCTTCCTTAACCGGGCTTGAGACAAGCGGAGTTGCTAACAACCCGGCGGACTTTATTTTAACAGATAGAAAAAATAAAAATAAAATTGAATAGATAAGGAATTTCAACAGATAATCAAATTTGGTAAGATATTTGAGCAAATAAGACAAAAAATTAAACAAATAATTAAAAAATTTGAATGGATAGAATTTTATTTTAACAAATATTTAAACAGATAAGGGAAATTTGAATTGAAAATATTAAAAAAATTAAACAGATAGGGTAAAAAAACTAAACAGATAGGAAACAATTTGAACATATAGAGAAAAATTTGAACAGATAGTGAACAAAAGTCAACAGATAAAAAAATGTCAACAGATAAATTAAGAGGCAAAATTGAAAATAAATGTTTTGAAAAATTGGTTAAAAACTGACTTTTTGACTTTTTTTTTATAAAAAAAACATGTAAAAATGTAGAGAGATTATGTGATCCAAAATGAGTAATGTTACAGACCCCAAAAGTACTACCAAATGTCTTACATAGGCGTGAGATCTACATCATGTGGGTTCTATGTGAATCTCACACTCATATGAGATATTTGATAGAAATTTTGATAAAATTTTTAAAATCTTTATCATTTTTGAACCAAAATAGGTTAAAAGCTGACTTTTGGCTTTTAACCATTTTCCTAAAAGAGGCCAAAATGCCATCCATAGCCAACAAAAGAATTTTTTACCAAACTATTTTACAATGTCTCATTAAAAAAATATGTATATCTACTGAATCTAATATCTTATTTTTTTTAGTTTAGATTTTTCAATAATTTTTTCTTTAAAAAATAATAATTAATTTATACAACACGACTGTTCGTTGTTATATGTCTGACGTGTTAACGTTGACATGTCAAGGGTTTTGTTGGCGCTTTCTTGGTATGGGTTGCGTTTGTTGTTTGAATTCAAATAAGACCCACCAACTGATATTTCACAAAATAAAAAATAAAAAATAAAAAATAAATTTTAGAAATTCTAAAAGTTTTATCACAATTTCTATCAAATATCTTACATAGTATGAGTCTGACAACCATATAAAATATTTGATAAAAATTTTAATAAAACTTTTAAAATCTCTAATTAATACTTGATATTTTAAGAACCAACCAAATAAAATAAAATTTTCACTACACTTACACCCCTAAATTATGGGGAATTATCACTTTATTTCCTAACAACAACGAGTTGGGGAGCCATGAGGACACAAATTAATAATATTGATTTATTTTTTTTTGTAATAAACAACAATAAAATATTATTATACTTAATTATTATAAGTCCATTTAGATAAATATGAATTTCAAATTAAGGAGTTTAAGGTTGTATTTTGTAAAAATATTGGAGAGTAATTACTATAAGTAGATTGGAAAATTATAAAAAAAAAGGAAAAGAAGTTGAGATAGAAATGATATATTTTAATAGGAAAAATCTATAAAACACATAGTAAAAAGTGGATCTTGTATGTTGCAATTATGATCTTTATAGTCTTTGGTCATGACACATTATGGTGTTAATTATGATTCATTGTGATATTGGTTATAACTTAATTATGATTTCTTGTGACTATTATTTTGGTAATGGCCCTTGGTTATAACTCATTGTAATGTTAATTATGACGTAATTATGACCTATTGAGATTATTTTTAGATTATGAACGAAAATGTGGTGTGTGATTATTATGTATTATGGTCCTTTTAGTTATCGCTGAAAATGATTTAGTCTTTAACACTTTTTGGTATTAACATCATAAAATATCATAACTTGTATATAACATATCTTTTTGGAGAGTATATGGTAAAAGACTCATTTTAGTAGAATCTTTGCAATTAGAAAGAAAATCCTTAATAGAGAAATATTATTACAATTTTAAGCAGTGCTATTATAATTTAATAAAGGATATATAAAATATAATTTATATATGTTAGAATACAAGTAAAATTATCAAAAAAAATTATAAAGAATATATAAAATATAATTTATATATGTTAAAATACTGGTAGAATTATCAAAAATTCAGAACCACGTGACCCGCCTATCCTACTGTTAGAAATGTAAAAATGGCCTACGACTCATAGGCGGCCTAGGTAGGCCCAGCCCAATTAGGCCTGAGCCCAACTAGAAATCCTGGGTCTGGGCCTGGGTCATCATTTTGAAGCCCAACTTGGCCCGCTTTAGGCCGACCCATGGCCCCGTCCATCGGTCCACTCAAAGCCCACTTAAAGTCCAACACAAGGCCCATCTTGCCCGAGACTCATTGCCATTTTTGGTGGAAAAAAATATAAAAAATGTTCAAGTCCTGCCCAGGCCCACTGGCCCGGCCCGTCCAAGGCCCAAATACCTCCTGGGCCTGGGCCTAATTTTCTAGCTCATGAATTGGGCCAGACAGGCAAAATTTACACCCGTACCTACCATAGCTTCATCCCTGATAGCGAAACATTTATTTTCTTTATTATAAGTAGATTTTCATTTTTGAAAAATACTAATGGGTGAATAATATTAGTGAGGACTTGGACTATCTCCAGTTTGATTAGTCAATTGGATGATTCAATTTGGCTTATTGCGGGCTTCTTTTGGGCCTATCTTGATAAATCAAACCATTCAATATGTAGGGCATATTGAGTAATTCATTCCTGTAAAAAAATGACGTTAATCGGATATAAATAGTAACTTTATTAGATCACATTTTTGTGAATAATTTATTTTAAAATCATAATTATTGTTGATACAAATTTGAAAAAAGTACAAAATTATTTTCAAACATATTAAATTTTTTAATTTCATTTTTAACTAAAATATTAAAAAAGACAATTCTCAAATATATTATGAGAAATCATAATGATTTCATATAAGAGTTGTTTTATTTTGGAGAATTTACAAATCAGTGGTATTATTATAAAATAATTATAACTTCATGAAAATTTTATGACTTTAATCATTAAAATATTAAAAATTTATCATAAATTTATAATTATTTTTCAAAACTAACACTAATTTGTTATTTGGGAAATTCTATCATACACACCCTTAAAAGAGTATACTATATACCTCTTTAATTATGTCATTTTTTTCTTTAATTATAATTAATTTTCTTTTTTAGTTACAACATTATTTTAATTATGACTAATAAATTTTTTAATTATGTCTTATGTTATATTTGATTATGAAAATTTCTTTTTAATTAGTTATGACTAAAAATTATAAAATTATGACATTTTCTTATAATTCCATATCATGTTATTTTCGCTTATATTTTCTCACCTCACCATCCAAACAGAGGTAGACATCCATGTGATGGAGAGGATCGGTATCGTGCCTACCCAACTTGCTATATATGCACTGTGCTTAATTCATCTCTGTACTCTTCATCTTCTACACTTTCCACCGTTGTTGGTGCTTCTGATATTTTCTCCAAATGGTTGGTGTGGAATTCAAATAACACCTTTTCCTTTCCACTGTTGCATACACAAATTTTTCCAAACATATATATTTATATATACTCAATAATAGTTCAGTCTTTCAAGCAATCCTTGCTTGATTTCCTTAATCCACAATTCTTTCTTCTCACTGCACTGTCCCTAATTTAATGTAAAATTCATTTTGTTCAAGCTCTCAGAGCAACATTGCTTGTTTTCTATTTTTTCAATCTCTCAATTCTTGTTGGGTTTCTTTAATCTTTGTTGAAATGGGTAGTGTTGGGGTGTTGACCAATTCAACAATGATTTGTGCTCCATTGATGAGTCAATCTGTGGAGCAAATGGTGAGTGACATGAATCAGGCAAAGGCACAAGGTGCAGATGTGGTTGAGATCAGGCTGGATTGTATAAAGGACTTCCAGCCAAGTCGAGACCTCCAAATCCTCCTCAACAATAAGCCACTCCCTGTTCTCATTGTCTATAGGTATAAAATGCTAACCTTGTGTTCTGCTTCTGTGTATATATATATGTATTTTTTATTATTGGGTATCCAAGTAAATCCGGCTAATTTCGAGACTCATGCAAAGCGCCCCTCCACGTGTGGATTTGGCAAATCTTGGGTGTGGTTCAGAGTCGAACCTTAGACCTAATGTCTCATGAGGCACCCAGGGCCAACAAATGACTGATCACTTAGCAAATACTTGGGACACTTCCTACTTTGAAGTTCTATATTTTTGCAAGATTTGATTTCATGTGAATTGCATAAAGATTCCTTTTTAGTGCTCACAAGCTGTTTTTACTATTGTCAAACTAAAATTGCAGAATTGAATGTGATATAAGAAAGATAGTTACTATGAGCTTTTCTTTTAATTTAAATCAAGGTATCTTGATGGAAATTTTGTGCATGCACTCAAATTGGTTGTGGGGGACCATGAGCTTTTTATAACCGACAATTTAAGAGCAACTCTAATGATCAAAGGCAAAATGATTTTGGCTTGTTAGTGTAAAAGGGTATTCTAATTTGATCATTATTCAACTAAATTTTGTATGATCCATTCTAGATCAACTGAAACTTTTCTCTCACTGATCCAGAAGTTTTTTGTTTTTTTTTTATTTATTTCTTATTGTTCGAAGAAGGATAAATTGTGATTATTGGTGTAATTTATTTTATGAAATTATAATTTTTAGTATTGTTGGGTTTTCATAATTTGTAGATTTTATTTATTTATTTATTTATTATTATTATTATTTTCTATAGTTTTAGAAATTAAAGAGCGCTGTAGTTTCATGGTGTCTGAAATTTGTTTCTCAAACTCAAGTACATAAAGAAATAAGTTTTTGAACTAAGAAAAATACTTCATACCACTAATTTAGCACCACTAATGATGTGGCATCATGTGGACCCCACCACTGATGTGATAGTTTGGCCTTTATTTTGTTTTATTTTTTTTTCTTTATATTGCCACCTCATTAGTGGTGTTTTTAAAGTTTCAAATTTAATACTCTAAATCACCACTCTTGAACTAAATATGGTGATGTAACCTTTTTAATACGTCTGTTATACAGTAGGCATAATAATGGGATCCTCTTATGTTAGCTGGGGACTTGGGGGGTAATAAGTATATTTGTATAGATTTGGCTTCTATTAAGTGAAATAGGTTGTAAAGGTTTGCTTGGAAAATTTAAAAAGGGTTTTTTTTCCATTGGTTCTGCACAAAATTTAGAGTTGGATTTGACATAAAAGCAAATATTCATTATCTTTTTGTTGGAAGCTTTACTAGTTAACTTTCTCTATCTTTGTCGCTATCACTCCAGTGGTTGTAGTAGGTGAATATACTCACAAGGAAATGAATGTGTATATAATATATAGGGTGTGTTTGGTTTGTATTTGTAGAGTAGTTTTTGAGATAAAAAGTACGAAAATTTGTTTGATTTGCCTTTTTTAAAAAATAGTTGTGAAAAATTATTTTGAGGAGAAAGTTTTAAAAAAAATGATTGATTTGTGTGTATGAGAGAAAGAGTGATTTTAGAAAATAAATAACTAGACAAAATTTTGAGAATTTTTTTGGAAAAATTTGTTTTGTTTTGTTTGGTTTGATTACTCTTGAAAATTTATTTGTAGAGAATTTTTTTCAAAATTTTTTTTGAAAAACAAACGAAATATATATTTCTAAGAATTTTTTTTCCCACTATTATAATGTTGTTGTGAACTCAGTGCTTGGTGGACCTTTAAGTCAAACTTCATCAATTTAGAAGAAAACTAGATAAATAGTGTCCTAGTACAAAATTTTTAATGTTCAACTACTGTTGAGTCATATTTTATTCTTTTTTCGTTCTTTTTTTTTTTTTTTTTTTTTTTTTTTTTTTTCTTTTTCTGCTAGGCCACAATGGGAAGGTGGTCAGTATGGCGGTGATGAAAACATGCGGTTGGATACACTTCGTTTAGCTAAAGAACTGGGAGCAGATTATATTGATTTGGAGCTCAAGGTATTTGTATTTGATATCAATTCATCTGCAGGAAAATAGATTGAATTCTGTTAGATGATGTCAAGTTATTTGGAATTTTACATGCTTTCTCCAACAAAATTTGAACTAATTACAAGCCAAGAAGTCTAATCATATTCAAAGCAACTTAAACAAACTGCAATCTGATGTCATTTTCCCTGAACTCATGGGCTATAGTATGTTTGGACATGGTTTTGTCTTGTTTGACTGAATCCTCTTCCTGTCTGATTGGGCACCACTCGTTTCCTAGAGTGAAAAAATGGAAGAACCCCTGCAGTGTTGCACTATCAAGTGTGGAATCAGAAATTAGCATTTATTTGTTGAACATTAAAAAATATTCTTGAATTCTTTGCTATATGCTCCTCTAGTGTTATTTTTTCAATCATAGATTGATAATTGATGCATGGAAATCAGTCGACAGTATGAAGGATGGAAAGTTTACACAATCAACTAGGATTTGGGAACATGCCAAGTGCTTGTCATTAAGGGTTAAATTTTTGTCCTCCTAAGAGAGTGTTTGGTTCATTGGAATGAAGATGGATTGAAATGGAATGGTCATTCCTTAGTCTCCTTATTGAATGACAATTGCCTTACAACGACAAATGATGATTCCACATGCAATATATATTTTTTATAATTTATTTAGTGAATCAAATGTGAATATGCTGATGAATGATCATTCCATTCCAACTTATTCCAATAAACCAAACACAACGTAAGAGTTATCATGATTCATGGCATGATGCTAGTTCATCATGTCTGTGAAGCTTATTATTGAGCATCTCAATTTTGATTTGAACTTCTACATCTGATTCATGAAAAGATAAAATTGATAGAGTTGATGGGGAATGGTGACCATAAAACAATTTTGTGTGCCCTCACCGTAGTTGAATTTATGAAAATTAAATGATAATATTTGTGAACTCTGTATTGTGTTCTATTCATTGTTATGTAGAATATGCAATACTGTTAGCTGGCTTTGTTTTTAGCTGCTAAAAAGGTCAATATACAAAAAAATTTTTTGTCAACAGTTCTCATTTTCCAATAAGAATTCATTAAATTTTGTCTTCTTATGACTTTTATTATACTGTGATCATTCAGGTAGCTTCTCATCTAATGGAGGAACACAATCCAAATAAGCGTAGAAGTAGCAAAATAATTGTATCACGCTATATAGATGGCACAACTCCTTCAGAAGAAGATCTCAGTCAACTTGTTGCCCACATGCAATCAACTGGAGCAGATATCATCAAACTTGTCTCCAAATCAAGTAGCATTACAGAGCTACCAAGATTTTTTCATTTGCTTTCGCATTGTCAGGTATATGAGGTTTGATGAAATTATGATGTTTTTGCCACTTCTGTGAAAAATGTTATATTTGACTATGATAAAAGAAAAATAATACACTTAGAGAAGGTGAGCACTACTAATGATTCTTATAAATCATAACTCAAATGCATGAGTTGGCCATAAGATATGTGTGTCAATGACTGACTAGATTAAAAGTTGATTATCAAATATTGGAGATAACAATCCCTCTCTTTGTAGTAAAAGAAATCAGGAACAAGAGAACGCAAACACATCTTTAGTGAATTTTAGTTTATTTGTGGGTGCAAATTTTATAAAAATTGAATGCCCAAAGCAACAATGAAAAAGAAAAGAGACTGGACTCGAGTGAAGAACAAATTCTGTGACTGTAATTTTCGTCTTTCCTCTTATCGAAATATAGCTAATGTGGTAACTGAATGTAGACAAGGGATGATTAGGATAGTTTAATTTTATTTTATTTGCCTATCTTTTGTGTATTTGACAAGTCACCTCTTTTTAACTCTTTGCAGATACCGCTAATCACTTACTCTATCGGGGATAGAGGTCTTATAAGTCAATTATTGGGCCCAAAATTTGATGGCTTTTTAATCTATGGGTCTATTGAAGGAAATCCGGTGCCTGGTCTGCCTACTTTGCATAACCTTCGACACGCTTATGGAGTTGATTATTTAAATGCAGAAACTAAAGTTTTTGGGCTGATCTCAAAACCAGTGGGCCACAGCAAAGGTCCCCTTCTCCATAATCCTACCTTTAGACATGTGGGCTACAATGGAATTTACGTCCCAATGCTTGTAGATGATCTCGAGGAGTTTTTTAGTGTTTACTCAAGCCCTGACTATGCAGGTTTCAGGTAAGCTTATAATTCCTTCCTGTAAGAGTGATCTATTTTGAAAATTCCAAAACTATGAGACTTGCCTTGGAGGGAAGAATATTTTTGAAAATAACAGGAAGGGCAAATTCGTAAAGGGAGTCGATCAAATGAGACCTGATTGGAATCCAAAGACCCTTATTGAATTTACCACAAGTAATGCAAATTAATTGGGTTATGGGTTGCAGTAAGGGTGATGACCTGAGAATTGAAAGAGAGACCTGGAAAAATGATCAAAAGAAGCCAATCTACATAAAATTGTGAAGGAAGTCGGTTAATAGAAATGCGAAGTTACCAAGGTGGGCCAAACAGAGAGGATAAATCCCCTTGTCCCTCCATGGCATACCTTGGAAAATTCAATTTTCCTAGAGCCAGTGATAAAGGGCTTGAAACAACCAAAAGTGTCAAGGCATGCCAGAATATTGACTCCCTCCAAAATGGGAAGAATGAGATCCAAGAGTGAAGAATCTCCTCCCCACCCCATTTAAATGGTAGGACCTGGGAGGTCCCTCAATACAAGGCTATGCTATGACCTATTCTGAGCCGTTGGGGATTATGTGGCTTGGCAGCTAAGTGTAAGGGATCAACGAGGTAATCTCCCTGAGAAGGATATTCGAGGGACTTATGGAGTCCCGAAGGACGTGTCCAAAGGAACTTCGTACTTACCTCGACCTAGCAGTTAGGGAAAAGAATATTCCCGCGTGATTCTAGAGGCATGTGGCATCACCCTATTGGTTAAATATATATATTTGTATATATTTATTTTTTTAATACAGGATATCTCCCGCCTAGCCGGCCCACTTGGGGTCTTCAAGTGAGCCAACGAATGCCTATAAATATGGCACAATTCCCTTAATAAGAGAGTAGTTTTGGGGAAAGGGTGACCCTGCTATTTTGAGCACTGCCATTATTTCCTTTCCTGTTCTGCATGCCTTACGCTCACCTAATTGGCTGATTCTCTTCTCTCCAGATTACTGTCTACATTTCTCACCTCTCCAGTGATACATATTTTGTATTCTCCATTTTGGACCACCTACACTTCAAGTAAAGGAAATTAAATCCTTAATTAAAAATTGATCTCTTATTTGAGAAATATAATCTCTTTTTTATTAACTATATCATCTTTCTTTTTACAAGAGGATATATTTCTTGGATATCTTTTGTGCTTTTCTTATTTTCATTAGGATTACAACTAATGTGTTATATTCTCTCTATCTCTCTCTCAACGTGCAAAAATGGGAAAAAAAATACTAGCTCAAATTATAGTTGATACCAGTACTGCAGAAAAGTAAACATGTAAAATGGCCCCAAATGTTCATTTGGGATGCGGTAGTATATTAGTTTTCAAAGAAGCATGTGATGCTCTAATTGAAGGGCAATGACTTTGGTATGTCTTTTTGGGAAAATAATTTTTGATTATATCCTGGTTATACACATTTTGCCATCTGTTTTTACTCAATATTTTCATAACTCCTTTTCACCAGAACAAGGAAATGTTATTAACTTGCTATAATACCCCTGCTTCCTGATTTTGTTTTTTGTAGCAGCAGAGTAGCCCTAGAATATTTTCTGTCCATCTCAAATATATTATATGATTATGCCTTAACAAAGTGAATAGGATGGAAAGTTCTCTATGTTACATGGACTTGGATATGTGACTTAGGTACGGGTATGTATGTGTCCGGGCTTGGGGTTCACCTAATTCACAAGTTCAAATATGGAAACATGACTAAATAATCATTTTGAAGCAACCATTTCCTCGAAGAACATAGCAAGGGAGTTTTATGTACAATCATGCAGTGAACTTGAATAGACAGGAGTGGTTATTGGGGGCATGTCTAAGTCAATGTCAAACAAATATTCCATATGCTTACTCAAATGTCGAGTGTCTGACTTGAGTATTCACTCATTTAGAAGGGGCATCTAACAGAGAATCTACTTGCATTTTGGGCTTCTTCATAGTTTATTTCATGTGAGATTGTTTCCTTTTGGATTTTGATTCTTGGAATTATGCAACTGTTTAAATGCTTTCCTTAGCTTTTTTTTTTTCATGATAACATTGTGTTTTCTTTTTTATTTATGCAATTGTAGTGTAGGATTTCCATACAAGGAAACTGTAACTGCATTTTGTGATGAAGTCGATCCACTTGCTCAGGTCTGCTCAATATTCTTTTAGATATCCACTTTTTGTTAAAATTTTGCTACTACACGCATCTTCAATCTGTGCATTATGTGTATCCTATTTCTAGTGCATTGTTTAAGAAATAGTAGGCTGGAAGCACCTTAATGGGGCTGCATGACTGCATCTTTATTAGGGTTTAAAATCTTGTTCATCAACACACACACACACACATATATATTTATATATCAGTGGTTGTGTGCTTCACCAGTCTATAGGTGCTGTAAATACTATTATAAGGCGGCATAGTGATGGGAAGCTGGTTGGTTACAACACAGATTGTGAGGCTTCTATAACTGCAATTGAGGATGATCTGAAAGGTATTAAAGTTGAGACCACAATTTCTCTAACCAATTATATGTTCTATACCTAAAACTAGGTTCATCATTGCACAAAAAAAATAAGGGTAAATTACAAATACACTTCCTGAGGTTTAATTAAAATATGAATCGCTCCCTGTAGTTTTGAAAATTACATTCCACCCCTAAGGTTTTTAATTTCATAACAAATCGCCCATTTTATTAATAAATCATCAAGTCAATTAATAGTTTTTAATAATGTTAGAAATATGTTTCAATTAATAATTTAGGTAATTTTATTATTGTATAGAAGAGCAATTATGAATTTCATTTTTTTTAATTAATTATGTTAAATAAAAAATTCTAATAAGGGGATATTTATAATTTTCTAAACCACAGGGGCAATCTATACTTTAAGCAAGTCTCAGGGGGGGTATTTGTAATTTATCCAAAAAAATTAGTACATTTTCTCGTAGAATAGCACTTAAATATCTTTGGATAATACATCTTCTTGGAGGTGCAAATTGTAAAATTGTAAGATTAAATTCGATATGCTCATTCTTGAAAATAAGTTGTAGGTTAATATTGTACAACTTGGCCATTGTTGCATGATTGAAGTGCCTTGAAAATAGCCTATAAATCTAGTTTGAAGTATTAAGTGCCCATAAGTTAGTTATGTAGTGAACCCACAAAAATGCTTCAATCTTTTGCAAATATGATAGAGCTCCTTGATTGGTTAATAACCAATCAATTTTAGAAATTGACCATTTCATATTGTATATTTGAAATTTCAGTGTGGGGATGCACTAATGGGGAAGTATTGCTCCCATCTCCGCTCACTGGGAAAATGTTTGTGCTTGTTGGCGCTGGAGGGGCTGGAAGAGCACTGGCATTTGGTGCTAAAAGCAGAGGATTCCTGCAAATATTAGAAGACAAAGTACTATTGAATATTGATTACTATTGTGATTTGTATTTTAATACCTTGTACCTTGTTTTATTTCATTATTTTAACACATTTTCTGTTTTTGGTACCACTTAACCTTGCAAGTGAGGTCTTCAAACTATGAAAATTCAGTTTGTGGCAGCTCACTCAACAAGGACACGTGACCTTGTAATTGCATGACATTTTTTAGAATTGTTTCTCATATTTTCACCATTGGGAATGCATCCAAATACAGATCGAATTCCTGTGGCCAAGGTCCCTCCCCATATTTTCATTCCAACCAAACAACATTTTTGACTCGGGCATTGTAATTAACACTTGGTATTTCATTTTTTAGGGGACTTTGGGTGATTACAAAGTTGTCTTTGATGCCGTTTACATGCCTAGAAAAACCACCCTGTTAAAAGAAGCTGAGGCTGCTGGAGCCATCATTGTCAGTGGAGTTGAAATGTTCCTCCGTCAAGCCATTGAACAGTTCAATCTCTTCACTGGTGGGAAAGGTAACTTCAATTTCTTTCCTCTTTCTCTTCAAGTCTTTCTTGTATACAGATTGGGCTTGCAATTGAATCCACCAGGTTTTATGGGCACATTTGACTTGAAGGGAAAAAGAAGAAATAAATGAGACACTATATATTTTCAATTCGAATATCAAATTAAAAAAAAAAAAAAACTCATTTTTACCAAAATGTTTTTATTTTTATATGCATTTGTGAAACTATTTTAGCAAAATGTTTTCTTTTTTTCTTTTATTTTTTTAAACTTTGCATTTGTTCTTGTAATCATAATAGCTACCAGTGAGTGAAATTTGCTCCTAAACAAGATCACTTTTATGACACTAGCACAGATGCTCATGGATCACTTTTATTACACTAGCGTAGACTCTCATATATTGTAGTTTCTTAATTTTCTAGTCGATTGAAATGATCTGATTCACGTTTTTTTTCCCCTTTTTTTTTTCTTCCTCGCAGCACCTCAAGAATTCATGCAGAGAACTATTTTCGCAAACTTCTGATTCACCATACATAATGTTGTGTAAACTTAATTTATCTATAGTTTATTGGCCATCAATAGTTTATTGGTCTGGCCTACAATAAACAACTTAATAATTCACAAATAAGAAGGATAAATTATTTACAATGCATTTCTCCTATGATTGTTGTTAAACTAACACACTACGGGGTGATAAGATGATCAGTTTGGAATTAAGATTTTGCTTGTGGATGACAATGAAAATTATTGCCCAGTGTATGGTGTGAAAATTTTCGATTCAAGTGTTGTAGTGCCGGCCCAACCATTATTCCATCAAGGCCTTTGTCTAAAGTTTCAAATTTATTTTTAGAAGGCTCGAAATTTTTAAGTTATTTGTCTAAACACTTCATAAAAAATGATATTAAAAAACAAATTCCTTGTCCAACAGCTAATTAGAAAAAAAAAAAAAAAAATTCATTGTCAAAAGGCACAACAGAAAGGAATTATCTTGTTGAGAGCCCTAAAATGTAAAACACAAAGGACTTGTTTGGTTCGACTTTGGGAAAAAGATTTTAGAGAAAATTTTTGAAAATTTTGTTTGGTTTGTAATTTTTTTCAAAAAATTTTCAAAATCACTTTCTCTTTCCAACACATCAATTAATCACTTTTTCTCTCTCATCTCTCTTTTTCAATCACTTTTTCTCTCACATACATATAATCAATTACAACAAAATATCAAATCATTCCAAACTCTAAAACTCCAAAACTATTTTCAAAATATAAAACCAAACAAACTACAAAAAATTCTACACTCTCTTCCCAAAATATTTTTTGAAAACTTATCTCCCATAGTCAAACCAAACATTTCTTATACAAATTTTCTTTTTTTCTTTTTTCTTTATTTTTTTTTTCTTCTTAAAAAAAGCCTCTATTTGTCTAAAAGTTCCTAATAGCAAAGGCTATTAATTATAAGAATAGATGTACATTATAAGTTTTAATGTAATATATATATATACATATATATATATTAAAAAAATATTATTTAAATATATAAAAGGCCTCTCATTGGATTGGATGGGATGGGATAGGGTCTTCAAATGCATAATATTTGAAACAATTAGTGCTATTTTTTTCTTTGTAACCAAACAGATTTGAACCCATCATTTCCATACACCTGATGCCTTTGCCACTGGGCTTGGATGGCAATCAGGTTTGGTGTTTTGATTAACTGGATAGAATACAAATAATATGGATCTTTCATGATTAGGAAGAAAAGGATTGGGATTAGTTTCTTGAACCAAACCTCCCTAAACTGCATTATGTCTTGTTGTAGACAAATTCACTGAAGCACCTTTTGGACTTCTGGATTTGAAATGAATGGATTTAATATCAATATTTTTGGGAGTGTAGTCTTTAATTCAATGTAATATTTTTAGATTTAGATATCAATAATGAATTTGAGAGTTTTATAATGATTGATTTCAAATAATTCGGTGAAAATAGTTATTTGAAATTTTTTCATAAAGATCGTACTCGTACAATAATCTTAATAAAGTACATGTCTCATATCATTATTCAATCCTTTACTTTAGAGTTGTCAATCTAACTTCAATAGCAAATCTTCTTATATTTTTATAAAATTCCAATTCAAATCCACTCATCTAAGGGAAGGCTGAAGATTTTTTTCTAGTTTGTTATGTATTGGTTTGGGTGAGATATTCAATATAGTCCTTATTTAGTCACGGAGCGTGGGGGCGGGTGGTACTTGTGGGGTGGTGGATTGCACGGACAAGGTTAGAAATTCTCGTATTATGAATCGGGCTTTCGGTGATAATGACTAGGCGAATTTGTTACCATCATATTGCCTGAACAAATTGAAGATGCTTTTGTCTAATGGATGGGAGTATGGGATTACCCATGTTGGGCAATGTTTCGCCGGTGGTGCTAGTGAATTTCGGGAAATATTATGAAAGTATGCCGTGGAACGCAGGTTTCAATTCAAGTATTTGAAGAATGATTCAGTTCGCATTACGGCAGTTTGTAAGTTTGCAGAGTCCACAAGATGCGCATGGTCAGTGCATGCGAGGGTGTTGTCATCGAATGGGATTTTATGCGTTAAGAAGTTGGATAGTGTGCACAATTGTGGAGCTGCTGTTTGAACACATACAAACCCACGTACGGGGTCCAATTTGGTTTCAAGCGTTGTCGCAGATCGGGTGCGTGCTCAGCCACTAATGCGTCCTACGGACATTGTTTTCGATATGAAAAATGACAACGGTTTGGATATTAGTTACCGGGTTGCATGGTTAGGGGTTGAGAAAGCGAGAGGCGAAGTCTATGGAGATCACGTTATGTCATTCGACCAACTTAGGTGGTATAGTGATTCCATTATGGAAAAGAACCCAAACAGTTACATTAACCTTGAATTTCACCAACAAATTGGGAGGTTCGTTCGGTATTTTATATCCTTCCGTGCATGTATAGATGGGTTCAACCATTGTCAGCCGTTACTTTTTTTGGATGGCATGTTTCTAAAAGGCAGATTCAAGGGAAATTTGTTAGCTGCTACCGCGAAAGATGGCAATAAAGGTGACTTTTCAAAATTTTTCCTTTATTTTTTGCTAAGAAAAAAAATTGTCACATTTCAGTTCCGATTATTTTTTATGAATCTTTTACATATATATGTACTGTACGCAAAATTTCAGATGTGTACTCCAATTATGCCTTTGTCTACTATTTTTTTGCAAGCTTGTTTTCGGTGGCCTTCGCAATTGTTGATTCCAAAAATCAACAAAATTGGAAGTGGTTTTTACGGAATCTTAAAGAAGTCATGGGTGACGAGCGTACGTTGACGTTCGTATCAGATTGTCACGTGGGTCTCTTACAATCTATGCCAATTATTTTTCCTTCAGCACACCACGTATTTTGTTTGCTACATCTTCAAATGAATTTGAGAGATTGAATGAAATACGTTGATGCATCTCGTAAAGTTGGGTTGATGTGGAAGCTCCGAGAATGTGCTTATGCCCCTACTATACCATCTTATAATCAGAAAATAAAGGTGTTGAACATTTGAAAACTCTATCTTCAAATGAAAATAGAGAATGTGCTTATTCCCCTACTCTCGTAAAGTTGGGCTGGGTGCCTGGCACAGTTTCAATAGTAAACTCTATCTCCCTATCTACCAATTCCCCTGGTAATTCATTTGGAAACACATCTGGAAATTCTCTAACAATAGGGATATCATTCAATTCAACATTCACAGATTGTTCAGACAACACATAACACAAATAACCCTGACACCCTTTCCTGATCAGTTTGCATGCTTTCATTGCAGATATCAAATAAGGTGGAGGCACTACCCATTACCCACAAACACAATCTCTTTATGTTCTGGTGGTTTGAACACAACCCGTTTTGTCACACAATCAATGGTGGCACAATATTTGGTTAACCAATCCATGCCCAAAATTACATCAAAATGTCTAAAGTTCAAGGGCTGACACGGTTAGATGTTCGTGTTCTTGTTTTTAGTGATAGATAAATGGGTTTCCATGTTCACATGTTGTTGTCTCATTTCGTAATAACGAGAGAAACATATACGATTCAATTGAAGGGTTCTACCTTATTGAGAAGTTTCAAGCTTCGTATAACAGAACAATATATTCCATTTCAACCATAGAGAAACCGATGTTCACACCCAATGATTACTTGAGTACGCTGCCAAAGGTGAAGCGTCCTCCTAGAAGGCCCAAACGCAAGAGGATTTCATCAAAGGGCGAGGTAGTGCAGCGTATTCGATGTGGTCATTATGGCAAGTTTAGTAACCACAATAGGAAGACTTGCAAGGAGTCAATATAGACGTGCAACAATATGATTAAATTTCATTTTCCGGATAGTGGGCTTGTTTTTATTTATCGTATTGTCACGCACACATTTTCTATCTTCATATTTGCTTATGTTATTTTTGCTCGTGAGACATTATGTTTTATAAGTATTATTGATGCACTATGACTTGAGTTCTACTTGAAAAACCATTTAGTCCACATTGTCGTATTGCAAAACAGTGCTTGACTATTACATTTTGCATTTTTTTTTTTAAACTGTTCTGCGATGATGTTTGGGTGCGACATGGGTTCCCTTTGTGTTTTGGTTGTGTTCACTTTTTTGATATTCCAATAATACTCATCTATGCTGTTTATCTTTATGTCATACATAACATTCTCGTAGCTAACTGTGAAATTCTGGTTGTTGGGCTTATTTCGTAATGGATTTAATACTACGTTGTTTATCTTTATGTCATACATAACATTCTCGTAGCTAACTGTGAAATTCTGGTTACTGTGCTTAATTCGTAATGGATTTAATACTGCCCAACTCAAGCCGACTGACGCCTACAACCACTACTATTGGTATAACAAACATACTAGCATTGAAACCAAAATCATCAAAAATTTCAATGTTTATAAACGTATAGAAGCACAAGATGTTGATGCACATTTGGGGCAATGACCGATGTCAGGTCATGAGACTATGTCAATAAAGGTGACGAATGTTACGACATTCGCTAACAACACAAGATGTAGCACCCTCACGCAAAATGATTATGACATGTTCACAATGTTAACAACCATGGCAATAACATTAATAGTTGCACAAACATATTTCTATAGAGATTTTAAGAATTATCTCTTGTGATTGTTTCCTATTTGTAGATTAGGAAATAACTTGATTATTTCCTATTATTATATCTGTAGATTAAGAAATAGCTTGATTGTAGCTTTGATTATAGGAATAGCTCAATTATAGGACTTATTACTTATTAGTGATCCATCTCTATAAATAAGTAATTGTACTAATGAATTAAGATGAATAAAAATATTCTTCTCAAAGTTTGATTTGCAAGTTGGTATCAGAGCATTGAAAAAATCATCATCATTCTTTCATTGAATCCTTATCACCATCAAACCATAGCTAAGTCAGATTCTGAAATATTTGGCACCAAATCTGCTCCCATTGTCATTCAATCCGAAGGCTCATCGTTCAATGCAGGGATTGTACTCAATGAGACCAATTATGATAAGTGGTCTCAAATCATGGAGACGCATATTGCTGAGAAGGAGAAACTCTCATTTATTCGTGGCAATTCATAACCACCAACCGAGACGAATGATGGATATGAAAAGTGGTATGCAGATAATCAAAGGGTCAAGATGGCTGTTGATTTCTATGTCCCCAGACATTATGAAGCGATACATTCACCTACCCACCGCTCACAATATTTGGAAAGCTCTTTCTCAAG